GAATATAGGACATGCTTTCTCCCTGTCCCCCAGGTTTTAAAACTTTATGTGTATTTTTTTTTTTTTTTTTGAGACAGAGTCTCACTATATCGCCCTGGGTAGAGTGCTGTGGCATCACAGCTCACAGCAACCTCCAACTCTTGGGCGTAAGTGATTCTTTTGCCTCAGCCTCCAAGTAGCTGGGACTACAGGTGCCTGCCACAACACCTGGGTGATAGTTGTCTTTGTTATTTGGCAGGCTCGGGATGGATTTGAATGCATCAGCTCTGGTGCATGTGGCTGGCGCCCTGGCTGCTGAGCTACAGGCGCCGAGCCCTTATGTGCATATTTTAATAGTTAAAATCATAGGAACAAAAGAAATTGGCACTGTGATTAAACTGCATTTCACAACCTGTAGGAAACCTTGGGCCAGCAAGGTTTCACCCAGGATTTCCCGTCATCCCTCCATCTTCCTGTACCAACCTGGCCTTCGCTGTCAGCGGTTCTGGGTACTTTGCTGTGAAAGGGGAAGCACAGCCATTTAAACTTGACCAAACTTCTTGGATCTTAAAAGTTAAACTGCTAAGAGAAGTGAAGTAAGAAGACAGTGTGGGAGGTAGATAGGCTGGCGTCTCAGCGGGACACCCCTCCTCAATCCTGGGGTACCCAGGGGAGAACACACAGACATGCAGTCCCTGGGGTTCATCAAAACCACAGAAGATGAAAAGAGCCCAGAGAACAGAACGGACTACCCCACTGTCCCGGTGCCCCATGAGTATCAACAGGTGGGAGGGGTTAAGCTCTTTAAACTTCTGATCTATAGTTAGCTTAGGAAACCTGCCCGGCTTCCCCTGCTCCCCCCTTGGGTAGAACTAGTTTTTCCCTACCCCTTTCTAAATAAGCCATCAGCTGTCTCTTAGCAACTCTGTACCTCTTACCCCATCTCTGTGCAGTCTTCCTGGGGACTTGGGATTCCGTATCTTTCGGCAATTTTGCCCATGTACCTTTCAATAAAAGCCTTCTGAAGAGGCCAGAGAGGAGTTGCATTTTCTCAGTCTTACCGCTTGGCTGTAGATAATATAAGCCTTCTCTAGGCGTTCTCAGACTTTATGTTTTTAACTGGTGTATCCTTAGCGTCGTTTCCCAGTTGGCTTTCAAACCAGGTTGGGGTTTGGTGCAACAATCTCTGACTATTGGCGCCCGGTGTGGAGCTCAGCTTTGTTTTCCAGTCAACTTCAAACCAGGTTAGTTTCATGTGACCCACAGCAAGGCAGAGCCTGTGGAATGCACAGTGCATGTGGCAGCGTCCGCCTCCTTCCAGCTCGCCGACTTACTTCTGTTCCTTCGCTTCCTTGGAAGGCAGTGGATTTTTCTCTTGTGTTTCTGTCATCTTCAATTTTGACTTAATCCAATTTCTGGATCTCCACTGTATTGGCTTTGTCAGATATGGTTGCAGGGGAAGCCAGCATCTGGAGGGTTTGGCATCCCCTAGATCTCCCAGGCAGCTTCCCAGGGGGGCCACAGGCTCAGCATTTAGGCTGCTGTGACAGAGATGTGGATGCTGAGGGACAGTTGTGGGGCAGGGGACCCAAGGGTGAGAGGCCAGAGGCAGGGCCCTGGGGCTCACCTGAGCAAACTGGCTCTGATCTGCACAGCGCCCCCACTGAGTCCAGACACTGAAATTATTAACTGTAGTCACCACAGTGTGCAGCAGACCACTTGGACTTACTTATCCTCTATTGAAATTTTGTGTCCTTTAACCAACATCTTTCCCAAGCTACCTCCACCCCCAGACTCTGGTAAACACCATTCTGTTCTCTACTTCTAAGAGTTCAATGTTTTAAATTCCATGTGGAAATGAGATTAATATTGCAACATTGGTCTCACTGGTCTGGGCCTGGCTTATGTCACTTAGCTTAATGGCCTCCAGGTTTGTCCCTGTTGTTGCAATGGCAGGCTTTCCTCCCTGTGTGTCTCCATGTCCACAGTGTGCCCTTGTTCACACGCCCTGTGCTTTCTTTGTCCACTCCTTCACTGATGGATGCTCAGGCCGCCCCTGCGTCTTGGCTGTTGTGAATGATGTTACAGTGAACATGGGAGCGTGGACACTTCTTCACACACCAGTTTCATTTCCTTTGGATCATACCCAGGAGGGGTATTGCCATACCCTACAGTGGGTCTATTTTTACTTATTTTTTTTTTTTTTTAGGAACTTCTATACTGTTTTCCAGTTACGTTACTTTCAGGCTTTTGATTCATATAAATTTCCATACGGAACTATCCGGTGTGTTTATACCAAATTAAGTTGTGTTCCCAGCTCCTCACCAACAGTGAATGACAAGCAGGGAAGTTGTTCACACAGTCTGTGTGGAAGTATGTTGAATTCAGGGAACAAAAATGATGTCCTCTGCACTCTGCAGGCTTTAGTAAGAGGGGACACTGCTCCAGCTGTCACCTGTGCGCTTGGAGGTTTCCAGATGCACAGAGCACCCACGGGGAAGCGGAGTGGCCCAGCTCAAGGCAGACAAAACTCTATCAGACTCACAGGGCCCCTGCCCCCAGCACGCACATGCCTGGCAGTTTACTCAACCACAGATGCAAGTGTTTGTGAAGGGATTTTCGTTTTACAAATGTGTTATGATCCTAAATCAGTTAAAGTGAAATTATCCTATGTAGGCCCAACCCAAAGAACCAGGCTCTTCCTGACAGAAAAGCTATTGCAAGCACAAGAGAGATTCAGAGAAGGGCCTCCACTGCTGGCTTCGAAGATGGAAGGGGTAGTGCGGCATGGGCTTTGGGGAACCTCCAGGAGCTCTCCCCAGCTGACAGCCAGCAGAAATGCCAGGACCTCAGTCATACAACCATCACAAAAGCCTGAATGAGCCTGGAAGGGAATCCCAAGTACTATGTGCAAACACACCAGCCAGCACTTGGATTCCAGCCATGTATTATGCCCTCCAGAGGTGGACTGCCCTAGAATTAGCCAGGTGTGTCCTGCTCCAACAGGCAGCCTGCAGAGCTGTGAGCTAGTAAGTGGGTATTGTTTAAGCAACAAAGTTTGTCATAATTTTCTATGCAGCAACTTTAAAAAGTGTTTTCAAATTTGAATGCAGATGTGCCTGTGGAGCCATCAGACAACGTAGCACACACAGTCGTGTGTGTTAACATGGAAATTCTCTGCGGCAGGCCAGGATCCCAGCAGCTTCCTGACCAGCCGTGATGTGCATTGACTTAGTCATGTAGCACGAAGTCTGAGTTGTGTTTTGTTTATTTATCTAAAGGTATTCTTGCTAAGTCATGTTTCTTGCAACCTGTATTAAGTTTCATGAATTTTTTGAACATGGTTGCATGATTTTACGTTTAATCCTACTTAATTTTCCACATCTTGGGCAGAGTGTGCCATCTATCAGGGATGGAGGCCTTTGGAAACCGTGTGGAGGTGTCATCAAGTTTGGCCCTCAGAGTTTCCAACAACACACTCCCCACTCCCTGGAAGAGCCCTGGGTTTGAATGGAGGATTCCCCTTGGAATGACACAAGGGACAGAACTAATGGTCCCTGGGGAGGGTTCCAGGACACATAGTTTCCAGCACGCTTCTGATGAGAGCACAGGTAGGACATCTGGGGGAGAGCAGGGTGTAAGTTGGAGCTGACCTGTGATTCAGAACACTGAGTGGTGGCCACAGCGGTCAGGTTTTGTCAAGGGAGACAAGTGGGTGCAGAGAGGAAGTCCTCACTCGGCAGAACCTCGCGTGACCTGTGGCAGAGGCACATCTCATTGTTTTGACCTCCATCAAGATCTCTCTCCTGGGCACTGAGGGAATGTTGGGGAAACAGCCTGTGACTCACACTAAGCATTGAAGATCTGCCATGCTCCCTCCACAGCATCGGCGCCACCGTGCTGTCACCTGACAGGCCACCAGAGGCAGGTTCCCCCGAGGTCCTCAGGCGTGTGTTTGGGCTGGGGTCTACCCTCCAGAGGTGGGCTGCTCTAGAATTAGACCTCCACTCACTGCCTCTCATCAGCCTCAAGAATATCAGTCACCCATGTTTGGGGTGACTGAACAAGTCTCCCAAGGTCATTTGACTGAGGACAGATACACAAGAGGATGAACTGGGCCCTCCATGTGGGCTGCCTCAGGGTTTCCCAGTGGGGCACCGCGGCCGGTGCATGGAGATGGAGTGGCTCTCTCACAGCCGTTCTGTGCCCCCGCCACAGTTGACAGTCCCCTTGCCATCCTCCAAGGGTCACTGTGTTCCTCCCATGCAGGGACAGGCCCAGGTGAGCACTATTCGCAGCCAGGAACAGTCTGTGAGAACAGGTGTTGTCCATAAAGGAGGACAGCAGTTTATACCCAAGTGTTTAATTCCTCGTGGCTATTGCTGTCGAGAGCACTGTGCACGGCCTGCGTCCATTCTCTTCCTGTGTACCCCTTTAATGTTCGTGGAAGCAGCACGAAACATAGAGCTTGAAAATTGCTTATTTTTCATAAGTCCACAGAGAATAGTGAAAAAACAACCAAATGTCTTGCTAAGCCCAGTACACCCTGGGCCCACAGGTGGGTTTCTAACCCTCCTCTTAGACATGAATGAATTATACCTCTTCCCCCTGCCTGGTGGGGGTTACTATAAAGAACAAACAAAACCATCCTTGTGAACACACTTAGTAAATTTAAAAGCTGTGTTCAAACAGAAAGTACACAGATGAGTGTATTCCTAACAGAAGAGCTGGGCTTTGATTTTATTTATGGTAAATTAAAATCCCTGCCGTGTTTCAGAACTGAAGTATGTTTGTACCAACCTGGACCTGGACTGTGGGCTTGCTACTTGTACCCACTTGTCCTCCTTCACCTTGAGCTCTCCAGACTGAAGCATCTGGGGCTGAGTCATCAGCTGCCCGAGATGCAGGGTGGCCTTTGGGGTGACCTCAGCCCTCTGTGAGTTGAGGCTCCTTGCCTAGTGACAGAGGCCCACGCTTCCCAAACTTCTAGGCTCCTGACCTATGTGTGTTTCTGTTAAAAGATTTATGTCCATCTGAAGGAAGGTGGGGGCCCGGACGGCCTGGATGCACTGAAGAACAAGCCGCAACTCCATGGCACAGTGGCCAGGAGCCTGTGCCGGAATGCAGTAGGCAAGAACTACATTGTCTTCACCGGGCCCAGCATCACCAGCCTGACGCTGTTTGAAGAGTTTGAGAAGCAAGGTGTGTTGTGTGGGGGATCCAGTGGGACATGGCCCCCACCTCCCCTGGGGAAGTGGTGGGAGAGGTCAGGGTGAGCTGCAGGTGTGTGGTGGCTGGCATAGGCCCCTGCATGCTGCGCAGGGAGGCCCTCACTCAAGGGAACAGAGGATCTCAGCTACCCTGGGTGCCTGGACCCTTGCTGGCAGCGCATATCTCTATGAACCCTGGTGTGTGAGTCCTGGGTTCATAGTCTGGATGATGTGTTGGCACAGGGCCCAGTCTTCAGGACCTTTCTTTGTGTGTCCTTTGTTAAACCTGTGACAAAAGCCTGCGTTTTCTAGTCTCAGCTCCTAGTAAGGGTCTAGAACATCTGCTGAGCTCACCTGCTGTCTTTGATATGGTCCCTGCCGGTGGACAGACAAGGACTACATGAAGGCAGGGAAGAATCTAGGAGGCCCCAGAAAGGTCCTGGGTCCCTTGGAGCTAAGATGCTCAGTTTGTTCATTGCAGAGAGGGAGTTCATTCATTGCATTCCAGGCCAGGGAGACCAGTGGCAAGCTGTGTGACTTCTGTCTGTCCCACATTAGGGTTTTGTGTCCAGTCCACTCAGCAGAATCACCATAAGCCCGCCTGTCTACAGCAGCCAATAGAGCTGCAGACCTGACATCTGGCCTTAAAACTACATCCTGTTAGAGCAGGGACCCATCCTGGGTCCTCAACTGCCAGAGAGGAAGCAGCAGGAGACTGGGCTTCTCACTGGCTTGAGCTGCATCTTACCCACCTACAAACTGGTGCCCAACAGGGTCAATGGTTACTTGTTGAAAGAATCAAGAGTAGAGGGATCAGACTCTGTGAAGAGGAGCCATGGAAGTAAAGTTAGAGAAGGCTGCCCGCAAGCACATTAACCAGTCACTTTGGATGAACACTGAGTTCTCCATGTTCAAGTACAGGTGAGAACCAGGCTGTTGTTCTTTCCTGTCTGGATGCAGTGTGCATGGCACCATAGCCTCAATAACACTCACGTATGGGGCCTGCTCCCTGCCCCACGCCAACAGAATTGGGTGGTATACTCAATGCCAGCTCACACAAGGTCTAACAGTCAAGTTCACCTAGAAATCCTAGAAAAAGTGCTACATACCTCGCTGTTGAATATCACTACAGTCACCCTGGGAAGTTATACACTGACACCAACACCTAGTCTACCCTTCAAAGCAATTTTGAAACTATTTTCTGGAATGGCCATCAGAACTGTTGTCATATTACCCTTAATGTCTTCAGTGCCATCCAAATGTCTTCCTTTCAGTATTTATCTTTGGGTAAAGAAAAAAAGTTATTGGGGGCCAGATAAGGTAAGTAGGGAGGGTGTTCCAATAATGTTATTTTTTTACTGGCTAAAAATTCCCCACCAGATAGAAACATGTAAGCTGGTGCATTGTTACGATGCACGAGCCAGGAGATGGTGAAAAGTTCAGGTTGTTTTTGTCTAACTTTTTTGCATAGCCTTTTCAGGACTTCTAAATAGTTTGGTTAACAGTTTGTCGAGTTAGTAAAAATGAGCAATCACTTTGATGCCAAAAAATGTTAGCAGCATAGTTTTGACTTTTGATTTGTACTGACAGAACTTTCTGGGTTGTGGAGGATTGGCTGACTTGCATTTGCATTTGGACACTTTGTTTCAGGGTCATATTGCTGTTTGGGGCCATGTTTCATCACCAGTAGTAATGAGGCCCAAAACGGCATCTTGCCTCTCCTAAAGGTCTTGGCAGACTTGGACTCTCCTTTGCTTTTGTTCATTGGTGAACTCCGTTGGGACTGTTCCTGCACATGCCTTCTCCTGTTCAGATTTTCCTGTTCCTCCATCCATGTTTACTTGGTCTGCTATGCTTCTCACAGTCAGCCAAAGATTTTGATGCACAATTGATGAATTTTTTACAGTGTTTTTCATTACTGACCACCCTGATGTCTCTTCATCAGTGACTCATTCTCTCCTATTAGAAAAAAATGTTTAATGCATCTGTACACTGCCATTTTCTTCATGGCATTATAAACTTGGACTAACATGTCCCTGATTTCACCTTCACTCTTCTCAAGTTTAACAAGAAATTTAATATTTGTTCGTTGCTCTGATTTAAGCTCTGACATTTTCACAACAACACACAAAACATAAACATAGCAATGAATGCCACTCAGCAAGACACCACCACGTCTGCATGACCCCAGCTGCAAGACACTGGTATACCAAGGTTATGCAACTTACTGAGTTGTACAGTGCTGCTAATGTAAGCTGGTGGTGGCAAGTTCACAAACTTATTTTTCAGACCTGGGGGATTCTAGTGGGATTCTAGAGGTCGAGGAAAGACATGATGGTGAGAATTGGGTTGTCCCGTCCAGGGCACACAGAGAATATTTTGTAAAATAAAAGCCCAAAGAGACATTGATTGAATAATCTCTATTTTCATGTAGGGACAAATCCATGAAACCCTGAGGCAGCTGGATGCTCTTCTTCCCTCTTGTGAAAATGTGACAGGTAGAGCAGACCAGGTGGTTTTAATCACCCTCATCCTTGTTCATGTGTTCCTCCTGGGTGTTCTAAAATATAGATTCTTCTTTGTGAATATTGAGAGCTGAGAGGGAGCTACCAGCAGCAGGGAGCCCTCTTGTCAGTAGTGGGCCTGAGCATCCCTGCTGCTGCACACAAGGATAAGGGGCGTGGAGCAGAGGGACTCTGGAGGGGAAGGAACACTTCCAGCTGTCCTTCCAGTGCAGGGCAGAGGTGCAATGATAAGGAGTGCATGGGTATGGTGTGTGGAGTGTGTTCAGCTGACCAATGGCACTGTGTCCTCCTCAGTGAGCGGAGGAGCCTGTCCCCAGGGTCTCACGCTTCCTCCAAGCCGTCAGTCTGCCTGCTGTCCCAGTAGCCTGTGGCAACCCACATAGTGGACATCTAGGGTGGAATTAGACTGAGTCCCAGCTGGGTATTTTTCCTGGCTCTGAGAGGCCAGGGACCCTCCAGGATTTCACAGAAGGAACACGTGGCTTAGCCAATGGTGCCTGATGATTTTTTCTGTTTGCATTTGACTCAGCTTTCTGTGGAGATGGGGTTCCTTCGGACATAGCTACCCAGGGACTTTGTGGACTGGCCAGGCTGGCCAAGTCTTGGCGAGACTGTCAGGATGACAACCTGGTGAGGTCTGGACATCAGGCAGACCTGGCCTTTGTGCCAGTTTTCCCTTCCCAGCTGTGCATCTGGGAGGACCTCCTACTCTGTGCATATCATAACCTACTGAGTGTAGAAGCTTCTGGAAGGGGATGGGATGACAGGTGTTGGACACCTGGGGAGTGCTCTGACAGAGCTGCTGCTGCTTGCTTTCCACACAGCCTTGCATGTAGTCTTAATATGCTATAAGTTTATAAAAGAATCTGGGGAGCTCATCACCAGGGAAGACAGCAGAGCGGGGAAAGACCTCATGTGAGCAGTCTCCTGGAGCAGAGGGGCATCTAGAGGGCTTGTCTCCTCAGCATCAGCCTCAGAACGGGCAGTTGGTCCTTTCCTCAGGGAGGCACAGGGCAGGAGTGCCTCCAGCATCTCCAATGATGATGTGTGTGATTCTTTGTCTCTCTGCCCACCAGGGATTTACTGCTGTGGCCTGCTCAGCTCCAGGAAGAGCGACTGCACAGGCCTCCCACTGTCCATGCTGACCAACCCAGCCATGCCCCCGGCCCGGGGCCAGTACCAAATCAAGATGAAGGGGAACATGTCCCTGATCTGCTGGTACAACAAGGGGCACTTCCGCTTCCTTACCAACGCCTACTCCCCCATGCAGCAAGGTGCGTGCAGGCGGGCTGGACCAAGATGTGATGTGGGGGTGGGAGTCTGTTGTGGACTGTGCTGCCCTGGGTCAGGCGGTGCTGTCGGCTTCTGGGTTTGTGGCAATAACAAGACGAGTCGTAAGCTTCCCAGTCTGACAGCTGTCAAGCCTGCAGGTGACTAACCAGTTCTGTAGGCCTCCAGGTTGTACACAGGCTGGAGCCTCAGGTGAGCACCTCAGGTGAGCACAGGCCTGGGTGAAGCTGGCACAAGGCAAGAAACTGCCCAGAGGAAGGTGAGGTTCACAGCTGCCCCTTTGCACTGGAAATCCTCACATCTTAGAGTTCTTTTCCTTTTTTAATGAAGAGAGACAGTTCCTTTCTTGAGTCTCAAGCTGTCACCCTAGGTAGAGTTCTGTGGCATCACAGCTCACAGCAACCTCCAACTCCTAGGCTTAAGTGATTCTCTTGCCTCAGCCTCCCAAGTGGCGGGGACTATAGGCACCCACCACAACACCCAGCTATTTTTTTGGTTGCAGTTGTCATTGTTGTTTGGCGGCCCAGGCTGGATTTGAACCCACCAGCTCTGGTGTGTGTGGCTGGCGCCTTAGCCGCTTGAACCACAGGCACTGAGCCATCCCTTCTTAGTGTTCTTTAAGAATGTGACTTTTTAAAACTAATATTCCCACCTTTTAGTTATGCCAAAATCTCTTTACCTACTACCCTATTAATGATCCGTTTCTTCATGACATGAGTGATAACATATCAGATATCTTTATAGGTCAGTCTTTGGTACACCTTTGATTATTTCCTCAAGATGAAAAAAGTCTAAAAATAGAAGTACTGGGTCAAAGAGCAGGACTGTTTTTAAGGTCTGTAGGCGTTGCCACCGCTGTGTTTCGATGCCGTTGCGGTGGGTGGCCAGGGGTCCAGTGCTCTGCAGCTTTAGCAACACTGTATATTTTTTCTTTTTTACAGTTGTCACTCTGACAGGGAGAAAGGCTCCAAAATTTTAAAATATAAGCTGTTAGCAAATCTCTGTGTGTACCACTGGTTTCACACGGTCACTTCATGCGCTTTCCAGCAGTCCTGCTGAAGTGCTTGTCTTTTTCTCATGAATTTGAAAGCAAATTTTCTACCTATATCAATTTTTTTCCCTATATTTCTTTTTCCTTTCTTTTTTTTCTTAATTGAATAGTAACTGTGTACATTAATGCACTTCTAGGGTACAGTATGGGGTTTTCACAAACAATCTAAAACACTTTCATCAAACTGGTTAACATAGCCTTCACGTAATTTTCTTAGTTCTTGTGTTAAAATGTTCATATTCTACTCATAAAAAGATTCACTTGTACCCTTGTAAAATGAACCACAGAAGTGAACCCTCAAATCCCCCTCCCTCCACACATTCCCCTCTCCCTCACCCTTCCCCGTATCCTTAGGTTGTTATTAGGTTATAGCTTTCATATAAAAGGTATAAATTAGTTTCATAATAGGGTGTGTACATTGGATACTTTTTCCTCCATTCTTGTGATACTTTGCT